GACATATACTAAAAAAAAAAAAAGGAAGGTTACTTACCTGAGCCCTAACATCCCAGCTACCATGGAATCCTGTTGGAGCTGGTCTACAGAAGCAAGGTGTATTCTGGGGAGTCACATGTCACATCAAAGCAGGAACTGGTGAGTCTGTATTTTTATGGAGCCTAAAACAAAGAAAATCGTAAGTTGAAAGCCCCCATTGAGCTGCATGATGTTTTTCCCAGGGCTATTTGGGACATTCTGAAGATAAACACATAGACAAAGTACTAAATTTCCCGGCTCACCTAGCTAGAAACAAAGGATAAACTGCAAATTACTGGCACATAATGCACAGTGCTAAAATGAAGGAAAGATTCATGCTTGTTAGAATCAACAGTATTGCAGATCTTGTAAACCTTTGGGGGACACTTTTACACTAAAAAACATCAGGAGAGGTGATTTCTGGCAAGTATTTCTTCTACCACATTACACAGAAATACTTGGGGTAAAGAATATGTGTTCAAGAGAACATGCAACACCAAAATATCATCCCAAAAAGAACACCCAAAATCCAGAGGCAAAGTTTTCCCTTTTTTTTTTTAAGCAGCTTAAGTTACAAAGAGCTGCTGTATCATCATATGAAGGGGCTTTAACCCTGAGAGGAAAAAAGTACCAAGGGAAACCAAGCACCCCAGGAGATCCAAAGTCATCAACTAAAATATGCAAGTCTATTTCAGAGCAATCACTTTTAAGCCTCTCAGATCAGTAAATCTCTGATGTCCAACAAACTGAGTTAGTAGTTTGTTAGTTTCTCTTCTGCTTTTGAACACTTGTTCAATAAGGACTTTTGTTATTTAGGACAATCATCATCTCCTTGTTAAAACCTAAACTGCCCCATATAGGCTAACCTCTGATACCCTGCTGGCCCAAAAGTAGCACTTTTATCTTTAGACTAAAAACAAAAAGGTAAGCATATACAATCTAGAAACCACTTGCACAATCACTCATGCAATTGAATCCAAAGAAGGGCAACACCAACCAAGTCTTATGGCTGGGCTGGTTGGCTGGTTAATAACTACTTGGCTGGTACCTAAAATTATCTTTTGAGGTACAACAAAGTTTCATAATTCACAAAATTCCTTTAAACAAAAAGTCAAGTATTAGAATGTTTTGAAATCCCAGAAGTTAACAAAATTTCTCAATTATCTGTATAATAAAAATCAAACCAGTATCCTGGTTAGGAGGCCCTGGAAAAGTCACAACTTCTCTAGACCACAAGTTGTTTTACTTGTAAACTGAGGGAGCTGGACAAAGGTTCCTTCCAGCTTTGAAAGTTTGAGATCTTTAATTAAAAAGCCAGAAAATTAGTCCAGTTAGGTGAAAAGCTAATAAAGCAAGTGTGTGTGCACGCGTGCACGCGCACACACACACACACACACACACAGTCACTCACACTCTCTCTTTCTCTTTCTGTCTCTCCCCCCCACCCCCAGTTCTTTGGCAGTGAAGACAAGTACACCCAGGCTTGGTCCTGTCAGTTTCAGGACCAGTAGAGTCCAGATATCTGCAGTAACTACGCACTGTGGTGAGCACACCACACACCAGCAGACCTAACAGAGTGTGCCTTAAATAAGTTAAACAGGCCAAGGCTTTATTCTCTAAAGGAATGGGCATACCACCCTCCTCCACTTGATACGGGAGTGGGTAAGACTGCCTGCCCCCAAATTCCTGCTCCCACTCAGTTACCCCACACAATATATACCTACCATCAAAGTGGTGGAACCAAGTATTTAAGCAATGACGTGCAAATCAAGCTTTCAAAAGGAAAAGGTTCCTGGGAAGAGAAAGGTAAAAGAGAACCAGGGAAAGCAGAAGAGCACATCTAAGGAGGAGGAACCCATTTACACTGGTCCTATCCAAAATGATATAAAGGCACAGCAGTTTGATAAGACAACAGCAATGTGACTAAAAAAGACTCGTATGGAAGAAATGCAGACAAAGTTGTCCCGCTGGAGTGGTAATAATGCTCTCTATCCAACAAAAAAAGACTGTGTCTGCCAGCCACATGAGACTGCTCTGCACAAATGTCACCACAACAGAAGGCAGGGAAAACAAGCAGCTGTCCCGCCACACTCCCTGGACCTCACCAATCAGGGACTGCACTTCACCATCCTGTACTTAAAACACTGGTTACTACACATATCAAACATTTTCTATGATTCTTTCCTCCCCAGAGATAACTCAGGAAGCCTGGTGACAAACTGTTCTTAGTCAATTAAAACATTTCCACTGATAGTCACCTTTATAAAAGATTATGGGTTCTAGAATACATCAATTATCTTGCAAATAGTCCTGGCAGGTACATGAGAGGAGGAAATCTGGCTCCAGCAAGAATCTAACAAATTTACCTCTGCTGTTCTTTATTCTAGGTTAAAGATACTATTGTCCCATCTCCATGTGGAGAAAGGTGTGTTCAGTGTGGGCAAGGGTGTATTGGACTCATTCAGTCCGTTTTGCTTTCAAACTTCACAGTTTGCCTCCCAGCCTATCTAGATTAGGTCTCACAGAGGTAGGGCAGGCAGGGAAAATCACTCTGGCTGGAGATTACAAACATATAAACACAGAATGCAAAACTATACCATAACCCTCCAAACACACTGTTTTGTGTGTCATGCCCTACACCTACCTCAGGATTCAAACAGCAAAAAAGAGCTGATTGCATGATGTTTTCTTGTAAGACCTGGTACTCTAGGTTTAAAGCATTCAAGGCAAAATTTTAATAAGAAGAAATAGAAGGTGTGATAGGCCAGTAGTAGCAAGAAAATTGTACATGGCTTTTTCAAGCTGTAAGATAGGCTGACTTCAGATGCCACCAGGCACTTTACAGAGAAACTAAATTCTGGAAGCTGCCTGCACTGTTCAAAGGGCTAGAGGTTTATAACAAACAGGTAATTGGAGGGGCACCTGAGGAGGCAAACACATTGCCAACTATGAAAACAAATCAGAGACTTTAAATTGTCATGTTCTAGGCTCAGGTTTACTAATCTCAGAGTCATTGTCAAGTGAGGATTGTGTGTCTGTGTGGAAGTGAATGCACCCCAGTAATCAGCTGCCTAGCTGACATGCCACAGATGGGTGATCTAAAGCAACTTATTATAATCAACTGAACTTCTACTAGATTGTGCTTTTTAAGGTTGACATATCCAGGTAAGAAAATAAAAGCAAGTGTTTCCTGGGCTTTCTGACTGGGATTTACAGTAGAAACCCTGAATAGCCCACATATAAGCCTATTTCCCTAAATCTCTGGTGGAAATTCCCAAAAGAACCAAAAAATCCAGACACTGTCTTTTTATAGGGACTAGTATATTTCAAAAGACCCAAAAGGTCAGCTTAATCTTGTTATTAACTGAAATTGCTAAGATTGAGATGAAAATTCCAACCACAAAACCCCAAAATTCTCCCCTAGAGTAATAATTGCCTATTAGTACAATTTTACTATGCAGGCTAGAAAAATGCTTCATTTTTATAGTAAAACAAAATACCTAAAACTTTTGAAATACCTAAAACTTTTTCTAAGCCACTTAACATCATACAACAGTAGGTTTGGTTCCATGATCACCATCCGCCCTCTGAATTTGATCCTGTCATCTCACAGTTTGGGGTAGTGATACTCAACACTGGAGACAACCTGCGGATGGCTTGGCAGAGCCCATTCGTGTTCCTGGAAAAACAACCAGAAGCACACATCTGCCTGACCATGAGTCAGGAATATCAATTTTGTGGTGGAGCCCATTTCTGCTGTGACCAACCCATACCCGAACACATTCACAAAAGAAGCAACCGCTATAGAGATATTCCCAGCAAATCTTTCCCCCTGGGGGTCCATATTTAGCAATGCCATAAAGGGTCCCCCCTGTGACAGCACTCTTTTTAGGCTCTTCACAACGACCTTAAGTCTTCAGTACAAAACCACAGAAAATATTGCCACTGCCACATCAAAGTCATAACCAAATTAAAAAGAGAATAAACTTTCAGAGACAATCGACAGGAGTCACAGCAATGCAATGAACCTGCCCCATCTGGTACTGGTGATCCTGAGCACTCCAAGGCGACAGAACCCGTTGCATACTATGTCCCACTCCACTTATGTAACTGGAAGATCGCCGGCGAAGGGGGGGGAGATGGGAGGGCTTTCATATTCTGAAGCCACAGAACCCCCAAAGAACCTCTGAGCACCCTGGGGCACGCTCTCACCAAAAAGCCTTAGATGCTGCCGGACGCACAGTCCCCTACCCACGGTTCTTGATGAGAACTATAACCACCTCTTTATGATGAGTTGTGAGATCCAGGAACACAATGTCTAGTCCTTTTTGTGGGTGGACAATAATTTCCCACCTACTTATTCCTGTTAGATGGGGAAAGGAGCTGGTGGACCGATTCGCTCGCAGTGGGGGCAGAAAGTCATAGAATGGGCGAGAAGGAGGGGGAGGCAAAGCTTGGAGATGGGGGTGAGAGCTCAGGAGCCCTTGTGGCGCACTCTCCCGACGGGAGGTGGACTGCGCACGCGCGCCGGTGGGGGGGCCGAGTAACGGGAGAGGGGGCGCGCGAGGGAGGGAGAGGGGAGAGCGCGATCCAGGGAGAGGCCGGGGCCGCGGGCGCGCGACGGCGCCGCGGCCCGAAGCCCCAAGAAGGGCAAGAGCGCGCGTAGCCCCGACAGGCAAAGCCCGGGCGACAGGGGCGCCCGCGGCGCCGGGGGTCGGGATGCACGCAGAGGGCGGAGAAAGGGGGCGCCAGGCGAAGGTGGCTCCGGGGAGACCGCGACGAGGACGGTCACCCGCAAGCACGGGTGATGGGCCGAGAGGAGAGCCGCCACCGGCGGCAGCGGGAGGGGGAGGGTAGAGAGGAGGGACGCCATCCGCCAGCCTTGTCGCCCGACCCCTCGGGCCCCTCCCGCGCCACGTCCCGCCCCTACCCCCCGCCCCCCGGCAAGGGTCCCCGCCCGCGGCCGCGGCGGTCCCACTCACAGTCTCTCCTCCTCGCCTCCTCCTCCTCCTCCGCTCGGCGCGGCGGCAGCGGCGGCGGCCATTTTCCGGACGGCTTTTACCACAGCCCTCTCTCTGAGAGGAGGGAGCGCGCGCGCCGCCGACGCCGGGACCCCGCACGGACGACGTCGCGCCCCGCCCTCCCGGCCGGCCTGCGCGCTGCTGCACCTGCGTGCTCACGCCCCGCCTCCGGCACCGCCGCAAGCCTGCCCAGTATTGGTTGGGGTGGCCAGTCTGGGGCGGGGCCTCGGCGGCGACGCCCTCAATTGGCGGGAATTCTTGTCCGTTTCGGCAAGGGAAAAGTGGGCGGACCCCTGCCCAAATGTTGATTGGTTGCCTTCAGCCGTCATTTGGGGAAAAGTGGCGGCTTGGGCGCGGAGGGGCTGGTTTAGTGGGCGGAATTTAAATGTTATGGATTAATGGGCCCTTGCGGATGCTGGGGCAAACGAGGGCCTAGGCTCGGGACGCCTGTTTGCTCTTCCCTACAGAGCGGTTGACTCTGTCCACAAAACGCACTGAGTATGTTGCAATAAGCATTTTAGTGCGCTGACATTTTCTTAAAATGATCTTCAGTAAATCAGCAAAGTTGCCTGCCCTACAGCCCGGCGTTGTTCCAAGCCTAGGGACACGGTTTAAGAGGCCTAACCATTGCATTATTTCACTTTAGCCTGCCAGGTGCCACACTCTCTTAGGGGCCGGGAATAAACTGACAACAGATCACGGTCCTAACCTTCGCGGAACTCTGGCGTGGGGAGAGGGTGCATTCCAAGCCCACGTGAGACCTGTCATTGTTGGATCAGATGTTTTGGTGGAGGTGTGTAGAAGGGCAGTGGAAACAGCGCTTAGCTCTGCCTGGAAAACGTAATTTGGGAGCGAGATCCAGCTGTTCATCTTCTTTGAAGAAGTGATTTGGAGCTGACATCCAGCAACTATTTCAGAAAAATATTTTAAAGTATGAGGAAAGTTGTAGCCAATGGGATATTTAGAGCAGGAGTGTTTGTTAAGGCGACCTTACCCTGATACCAATCATCAACCAATCCATCCAATGTTTGTGATAGTTTTATTCTTAACAAGGAACCTTTGGATTCTGATTTGGCCCCCCGCCCCTGCCCCCCATTTATCTATTTAATATCTTCTTTATGCCAGGCACTGTTCCCTACTCTGAATGCACGGTACTGTACAAGACAGTGAAGTAACACATTTTTGTGGGGGGAAAATTCATACTAAGCATTAAAATAAGGTATAACTCTACATAGTCATAAGGGCTTTGAGATAGATAAAGGGTGAAAGGAGTGCTTTTTGGATATCCACTAGCTTTTGCCTTCATTTTATTACCCCAAAAGGATATTGGGGAAAGAACATTCCAGTCAAGTTTAAAGGCCTAACCTGGCATATTGGGAATATGGGGACTGATTTGGTTGGAGAGTGCCATGAGAACTGGGAGTTTATTCTGAGATGAGAAGCCCTTGATTTGATTGAGTCAGAAGCTGACATCATCAGATCTGAGTTTTAGTTGGAGAGTGGAGAATTGGCCATGGCCGGACAAAACTAGGTACAAGATGCCCATCAGGAGACCCTGGGAACAGTTTTGGCTTTAACTAGAGAGGCAGCAGTAGTGATTTGAGATTCAAGATATATTTTGAGATTGAGCAGAAAGGACTGGATGTAGAGTATAGAGAAAGAGAAGAAACAAGGATGATGCCTGAGTTTTGGTTTGGAGCACCTGAGTGAATAGCTTTCATCAAGATGGGAGAAAATACAGGAAAAGTACATGTTCAGAAGTCTCTTTGGGTCATATTAGGCTTAAGGCATCCCAACTCTAACAATGTGATGTAAGGGTAAAAGAAATTGAAGTTAAAGTGTAAAAGACCAGGCATTGTAAAGTTTCTAAGCTGCAAGGCCTGAGTTAAAATGTAAAGGACCAGGTATTGTTAAGTTCCTATGCTACTGCAAAACCTGAAATTCCTGTAGCTGTTAAGACAATACTTGGAACTGCCCAGTAAATATTCCCCCTGACCGCCTGGTTGTTTAATAACTCAGGGCCCTGTGCGATCTTGCACGTAGGTATCGCAGGGCCTAAACCAATCAGTTTGGATGTACCTCCCCCCTTAGAACTGACCTATCACCCCAGCCCGACCTGTTCCCACCAATGAATGAACTAATCATGTTTAGGAGTTGTTTGATTTTCCCGGTGTATGATGATTTGTTAAAGGAGACTGTGATGTATGTAAAGTCCCCGCCCTCCCCAAAAGTGTACTTAAGCATTGCACAACCCCTGCTCTGGGCTCTGGGCTGCTCTCCCTTCTTCAGTGAGCACGGAGCCCCAGCGCGCTGGATTGGATCCTCAATAAACCCCACTTGCTTTTGCATGAGCCGGTCTCTTGGTGGTCTCTTCCTCCAACGTTCGCCAGACCCTTACAGTGAAAGTAGAGATGTTGGAGTAGGTGGTTGAGTGTGTGAGCCTGGAGTCTCAAGCTATAGCTGAAGTGGCCAACATGTCAACAAGCTGAACATCCAACTCAAAAAGCTTTAAAGCATCAGCAGATGAAACCTGGAGAAAGTTGATGAAAGAAAAATAAAGACAAACAGAAATTAATGAAATAGAAACAAACAAGAGAGAAGATTGAGGAAATCAAAAGCTGGTTCGTTGAAAAGTTGAACAAAAGCCAACCCTTTAACAAACTGGATAAAAAGAAAAGAAGCAAGTATGTCATATTGGAAATGAAACCATATATAACCATAGAATGACAGAGGTTTTCTTTTTTTTTTTAATTTTAATATTTATTTTTTAGTTTTCGGCGGACACAACATCTTTGTTTGTATGTGGTGCTGAGGATTGAACCCGGGCTGCACGCATGCCAGGAGAGCGTGCTACCACTTGAGCCACATCCCCAGTCCCGGCAGAGGTTTTCTTAAAGTTATGACAGTTATTCTGAATAATTGTATATCAGTAAATTTGAAAACAAGCAAAATGAGTAAACTCCACAAAAGTACAACTTACCAAGACTGACTCTAAAAACAGAATACCCAAATGGATTCCAATGACCTCAAATAAATTGACCATATATTGAAAAAACTTACCACCTCATTCACAAATACAGGCCCAGAGAGCTATACAGATGAGTTCTATCAAATCCTTAATGAGTAGGCAATTCCAATCTTGGAAAAGAAAATTTTTTCCACATTTATTTTTTAAAATAATGTAACTACTATAAAAGAACCAAGGAAAGTATGACACAGGAAATGGAAATAAATGTGAAAATTCTAAATAAATAAATTGAATCCAGCAGGATATGATAATATATCATAATGAAAGCAGGTTTTATTCTAAGAATGCAAGGATTGGAAAATCAAGCTGGACATGGTGGTGTATGCCTGAAATCCCAGTGACTCGGGAGGCTGAGGCATGAGATTGCAAGCTTGAGACTAGCCTCAGCAACTTAGCAAAACCCTAATCAACTTAGTGTGACCCTGTCTCTAAATAAAAAATAAAAAGGGTTGGGGATGGAGCTCAGTGGCATACTGCCCCTGGGTTCAAGCCCCAGTAACACACACACACACACGCACACACACACACCAAATGCCAAAACCTATCTAAATATTAGACTTTACTGAAATACATAGAAGACCTGAAAAAATACAAACTATCTCATTCCTAGAAGGGAAGAGTCAACATAATAAACATGTCAATTCTAGAAAGAAAAGAAAAACAAAACTTTTTTTAAATTAAAAAAATGAAAATGTCATTCATAAATTAATCTGGAAGTTATTTTCCCTGATTAAAATCCAAGGGGCTGGGGATGTGGCTCAAGTGGTAGCGCGCTCTCCTGGCATGCGTGCGGCCCGGGTTCCATCCTCAGCACCACATACAAACAAAGATGTTGTGTCCGCCGCAAACTAAAAAAATAAATATTTTTAAAAAATAAATAAATAAAATAAAAAATAAAATAAAATCCAAGAGTTTTGTGGATTATAACAAGTTAATTCTAGTTTGGAAAGAGTTATATACCAAACTAGAAGCCAAGAAATTTAAAAAAAATTATTTTTACATGGACATGATACCTTTACTTATTTATTTATTTTAATATTTATTTTTTAGTTGTAGTTGGACACGATACCTTTATTTTATTTATTTATTTGTATGTAGTGCTGAGGATCAAACCCAGTGTCCCGCACATGCTTGGCAAGCACTCTGCCACTGAGCTTCAACCCAGTCCCTAAAAGCCAAGAAATTTTTGAAAAGCAATGAAGGAATGATACAATTCCTTAGATTGAATAAAAGGGACTTAATGCAGTTTCATGCTTAATATTGAAAATTAGAAAATACACTATTATCCAAATTATTTACTTGTAGAATTAAAAAATAGGCCATTTTAAACATGGGATTATACCATTTTAAAATTGATATACTTAAAATAATTCTATTAGAGGTAAAAACAGAGTAATATAGTGTAGTTGACAACAAAACAACAACAACAAAAAAAGAATTTTATCAATATGGCAGATAGAGCACAAACATCTACTCCATTTATCTAAAGATCCCTTAAACTGTTGGAACAAATGTTTTAGAAGAGCAAACCTAAAATGAAAAGGGTAAAACAACCCAAAATTTTGGAACTAACATCCCAGATGATGCCACAAAAAGTAGAAATGAAAATTTGCTTCGACCACTTGTGGACTCAAGTGTGGTGTTGCATGAATGTAATCCCAGCTTCTTAGAAGGATGTGGCAGGAAGATTACAGTTCAAGGTCAGCCTGGTCAACATAGCAGGAAGGTTGAGAGCCACAGCCGAAGGGGCCCCAGCAAACTTCCAGCTGCCAGCAAACTTCCAGCTGCCGGCTGATGATTGGCTCACCTCGGCCCCAGCAACATCTAGCTGATTGGCTCCTCTGTGGTGATGCTCATTGGGCTGTTTCCCTGCCCTTTCAGACCACGGAGCTGCTCATTGGGGGACTTTTTTGGCTCCGCCCACGTGACCCAGCCAATTGGCCTCAAGAGCAGGAGGATTGTGGGAGGTGGAGAGAAGCTTGTGTGGGAGAGAGAGGCTTGTGGAAAGCCGGTGGTGGCAGTTGAGGCTCTGAGGGTTTTTCCTGAGAGGCTGTTTTGTTTGGCGTGTGTGGTTC